TTTTGTATGTTGCTTGCACGTGAATGCAGCTTGATCTGTGGAATTGTTGCAGATCAAAGACCTGCCCACAATGTCGGGACAGGACAACCGAGCGAACGATACGCAGGATATATTTCAATTTTTCGAACAGCGACAATATCGCAGAAGATACTGCATCGCTGCAGAACACAATTGATAGCTTGACTTTTCAACTAAAGTTGAGAGATGAAAATCTCAATAAACTCACAGAGGCAAATGGAAAATTGGAGACGCAGACAGCTGGCTTAAGACAGGAAGTACGAAATGTTGAAAGTGAAATGAGAAGCAAGAATAGTGCAATTCTTGCGCTTAAGGAACAGATAAAGTTTTACAAACAGCAATGTTCGGATGCGAACAATTACAGGAAAGAGAATGAACATCTGAAGAAAAATCTTCAACATTTGAAAAAGTATGTTTTTTTTTCATATAATATTTTGTTATATAAGTTTTAAATATATACGTGTAATTTTTAAGTTTGTACTTAATCTTGCAATTAAATGTTTATCTTACAGCGTACAGAGTCTTATAGATAGTTCTACACATGAGATGGATGACAAAATACTGATGACGAGTGATCCTTCCAAACTTGCAACATACATAGCAGTATTAAAAAGGTATTTTATATTTCAGTACTTTATATATTTGATATATATGGAGGTATAATATGGCAATAATATACTCATACATGTGAATGTATCATAAATTTAATTATTAAATTTTCCAGGGAATTGAAACACATGTATAACAAGAGCAGAGAGGTTAGAGAGAAATATAAAAAATTACAGCAAGATTACACCCGTGCCTCTACAGAAAACAAGGTTTTAGCAGAGGAGCGTACTAAGCGAAAGTATGTAAATTTCTTGATATCTCAAAATTGTCTTAGAATCATCGTTCTTAGATTCTATTAAAATCTTATTTTTTAGAGAAATGGAAGAACGGTTAATGATCTGTGAGAGCGAGAAGATATCTCTGCAAACGCAGCTTTTTGAAATGCAGACAAACGCGAACGCGTATAAATGCGTTAGCTGTAATAAAACATCCGCGGAAAAGCTCAAGGAAGAGCTACCAAAACTTGAAGATACTGTAAATCTCGAAAAGAATGATAGCTGCATTATTATAAATCCAGTAAGTAAACTATAACTTATTGCGTTTAACTAAAATGTTTTATTTTGAATATCAATATCATAAATTATTATTTCTTGTTGCAGGATAGTACCGAGGATACTCCACAGAGCATAAAATCGCAAGGTTTCTTTTCGATGAGAGATAACGGTATAAAAAGACAGAAATCCAGTAACAGTTTGAAAGAGACTTCGATACTTGCGAAAAAATCGAAATTTTATCAACCGAATCAAGTGAGTCACTTTACTCTTGTATTTAATATATTGTTATCTGTATTTTTGTCGCAATGTTCTCACATTTATTTCAGAAAACTGCCAGCGGCAGTGGTATGAGTTTTGATGGCTTCGGAGGACATGCTAGGTACGATAAGTTTCCTAATCCGATACCCAGTTCACATGTAAAGAAAAGCAGAGAGGATTTAAGAAAACCGAAACTTGATACGGGTGACAATCAGAAACTCAATGATATACTGCATATGTAAGATGTATAATGATATAGGATGGTGCCTAAATTACAAAATAAAATTATAATAAAATATAAATTCCAAGATATGAAAAGACGAATTTCAACTTGAAACTAGAATTGCGTTATTTATTATTACGTTTAAGGGAAAGAGATTAGATGGGTGTAAATTTTAAATTCTTGATTGTAAAATAGAAACGGCCCTATTTTTGTATCAAATTTAATTTTGTAATAAATATTCTCTTTGTACTATGTATTATTCTACTGATTATTAAAATACTTATTTTTAATCCTGTCTAATCTAACCTATGTGTGTACATTATTATTTCCTAGATATATAAATATATAATCGATTGTTACTTGATCTTTTGTAATTTAATAAAAAAAATATATATAAAATAATTCTTTACTCGAGTGTGTATATATGTATGTATATATCATAAATCAATTATAATTATAAATTTCTCACGTAACAAAATAAGTTAGTGATAAGCGCGATTTACATCGCTTACAAGTGTCAACTGTTGAACGCTAAATCGAGTTGTATTGAAAGTTTATTTTGTTGTAATGTATTTATGCAATATATTTATGCAGTAATACCTATACATATATTTGCGAGACGTGAAGAGTGAAATAGCAAAATATAATTCAATTATAAAATTGTATCGTAACATATAATACGATTCCTAAAATAAAAGTGTGAAGAAATTTTTGCCTCAATTTCTTTAACCCTAGAACGCATGAGAGGGGTCGATTTCGACCCCAGGCGAAC